GCCTTATTCTGGAATACATCCTGATGGACTGGCCTGAAGCTGTTTTAAAATGAACTTTATTTTTGATAAATAGAATGAGTACTCTCAAAATAATGTTTGAAAATGTAGTTATAGTTAATACTAGGTGATAGGAATTTTTCACCACAATTATAATCTTATTGGACCACGTTTGTATATGTTGTCTGCTGCTGTCCTTGTTATGTAGTGCATGAAACACACACACACACACACACACACACACACACACACACTTATTTATGAGTGAAATAAGTGACAACAATGATATAAGGAACAGGAAGGAGAAATTAGGATTAATTTCTTATTATAAGGTACTTGTACTACCTGTGAAGAGACGTAGTGTTATTTGATAACAGACTTGGATTAATTGTAAATGTATAGTTTAAACTCTAGGGCAACCCATTAAAAAGTAAAAAGAAAAAAAAAAAGAAGTACAGTGACAGTGGTATGCTTAAAAAGGACATAAAATAGAATCACATAAAATATTAAATTGAAACCTCAAAAGCCAGAAAAATAATAGAAAACATTATGTAAAATTTACTTTATAATATCTTCCAAAATCTAAAGTAGCTAACCATAAACCTAATAAGAAATACATGGTACAAAAATGAAGAAAACTACAAAGACTTCCTGATGGTCATAAAAGGAGAATTGATTCAATGGAAAGTCAGACCATGGTTTTGGATGGGAGGAATATTTTTAAAATTTTATTTCTTCTTAAATTGATCCATAAATTTAAGATAAACTCAATAAGATTCACAAAAGTACTTGCCAAGCACCTGAAAAATAATTCTAAATTATATCTGAAGGAATAAAAAAGCAAGATTTGTAAAATAGTAATAAAAATAATGCAGAGAAAGCATCTGTCAGGTTTAACACATATATGTATAAAACTATTTAAGAAAAATATGATGCCAGAGTAAATAGACAGAATGGGAAGAATAGAAAGTCAAAAAAATCTAATCATAAAAAATGTAGAAGACGACAAAGACAGTGTTACAAAGCATTTGGGCATGATTAAATATTTCATAAATAATACCTAGGAAATGGTCAACAAGTGGGGAGAAAAGTGGGAAAATAAGTGGACATGTATTTTACAATTTCTGTTCTTTTTCTTTCTTAAAAAAAGAAATGTATGCAAAGAAAGGATACACAAATAGCAGTGATTATTTCTGGGCAGCCTATTATCAAGTTATTTTACTGTTTTAATATTATTTTTGCTGGTTTGTATTTCCCAATTTTCCTACAAGAAATAGGTATTAATTATGTAAAAGAAGCAAATTATAAACTTCTTCACAAATGTATTTTACTAGAATTATTATGGCTGTGATTAAAGTGAAAATTGAAGTTCTTCTTCCTCCTCTGTTCACGCATTCCCTGGATTCCTAGATTAATCCATAAATTAAATTTCAGATTGTGCTTCTTCTGAGGATTGTTATTATCTGACAATGGGATAAACAAAGACTTTTTAAAATGACTAACTTAGAAGAGACACAAGCTTTATATTCGTTTTACAGTGTGCCATGTGCAACAGACAGGGTCCTCCAAATATTCAGATTTAGTGTTTGCACTTATTGCTGTGTGACCTTGAGCAAATCACTGATCCTTCTGATGTCTCATATTCTTCCCTTAGCTGAAAATTGGATAAAATATAACACATGCCTGCCCCATGTGGCTGCTTGAAGAACTGGGTGAATCAATGGCATGAGAAAGCTTTATAAACCAGTTAAGAGCTACGTAGAGGAGAGATATTATCTCAGCCTTTTTTTTTCTTTGCACTTTTCTCATCCATTACATATTTCTTGTGATTTAAGAGATGCCATATGCCTGATATTTTCAAAGTAAATGCATCTCAAAACCTGGGCGGACCAGCTCTTCACCTACCCAAACAGCCCTATTCCTGATATTAGTAGCTCAAGATGGGCTTAAATGTTGCAGAATCATCCAGTGTTCTACTTTCCTGCTGCCTGCTGAGTTGGCTTTGAAGCTTGGGCTGTGTGGAGTGGAATGAGATAAAAAGAAATAAAAGGCTTGTGTGTATTAAGATGGCTTTTCCTCTTATATTCTTAAAAATGCCGAACGCTTATGCCGGAGTTTAGGCAAACACAATACTGATTATTTACATGGCATAATGGAAGTAAACACTCAAGGAGAAAGAAACTTGATGCTTTTACTCAGCATGATATAAACCATTATCTCATGTTTTCTATGGAAAGCAGTCTCAGCTGAGAAATTTGGTAACTCAGTAGGCTATTAATAGGATGTGGAATGTGATTACTCCTTTTGGATTACTTCAATATGTAATTACTTTTAGGAGCTAGTAGAAAGAAACTCTATTAAATGATAATTATAGGACTCTATTTGCTTTAAGGTTCTGTAATAGCTTTAAACATGGGAGTTTTCATTAACTGTTTGCCATAGTTAATAAAGTAATTTTTCTTAAAAAGTAGCGATTTTCTGCAAAAATGGTAGCTCAACAGTGGTATCAGTCTCTTGTAAGAGAAGACGGGGTGATTAATTGTTCAGCAGATGCGCTTATCTAGGGTTATATAATCTCCTTGAAAATATAGATGGTATCCATGAAGTACTGTGACAAGGTAAAATACTTATAACTCCCTAGAGAACAATATGTCTTAGTGTAATGTTTTCAGAGGTTAAGAGCAACTAAATATGATTGCATATATAAAAAGAAAATGTATAGGCAGGTGATGGAGGCAGTTATCACAGCAGGGGAACTTTAGTAAAGATCCTTTTTGTAAATATCCCATGATAAACAGGAATATTGCTAGGAATGCAGCCCCAGGAATTAGATCTCCAATGTAAGTTGAGAATTGCATCAACGCAGGTGAATGATTGACCCCAAATATTTGAGAAGCTAGACAAAAGATGGTGGCTAAGAGGCACATGAGAACATCTGAGTTTTCTGGAAAACTGAATCAATCTCTTCACTAGAGTTAAAACTAAATCCATTACGCAATATATGGTTACAAGCATTTCTTTGTCAGAAAACTGATATAAGCCTAAGCAGAAAAAACATAGCAGTCCGTGAATTCAAGGTGAAACTGGAAACAAATTTGAAAATGCAGAAAATTTCAAGAGTAAACATAGGGATTTTCATAAATTCAAGTACAGATGTATACATATCTTAGAAAGCATTATGCAAACACTGTTTGTGCCACCCTGTTCAATTCAGTTCAGTACACATTTTTAAATCTTCACTATGTGCCTGAGCTTCCCTGTTTTGGAGAAAAACTATCATTACAAAATGAATTCCTATATCACATGTCTGGGTGTGTTTCTGGTTGAGAACTATCCATTTACTTTAGTGATTTGCAGAATTATCTCTTTCAGAGACTTACAAGTGCACATTCACCAAAGCCAAAAGGTGAAAGAAAAACCCTAGTGTAAGTACAAAATCAAAGAGCGTCAAGTAATGTTTCTGTTTTAAAATGATGGAATCATTTACACAGTGAATCAGGGGTTGTTTCATAGGCTTCTTTTAAAACACATTTTTTTTACATATAACTTCCTTCACACTTCAGTTCTTAAGAGCAAGTTCATTATAGAAAGCAAGGCATTGGGAGAGAAAAGGCTGTCATAATACCTAGTGCATTTTGCCCCATCATCTAATTTGGTGTGTGCTTGATTTATAAGGCTCATAATTAAATACTCACATGAGTTGAAGAAATAATAAAATAAATCAAATCATGTACTCTTAAAGCCCAAGCAGGATGGGGAGCACCTGTCTGCTTTAATCATCAACGCAGAAGGAGTCAGTGGTTAAGGCTATAGCATCCGGCCTCTGAGAGCCTAGGTTTAAACCCAGCCATAACTTCTATTTGGTTGATTGATTTGAAACAAGTTATTCAATGATTCTGTGCCTTGTTTTGTTCATCTGTGGAATATGGGTGATAATGATGCCTGCCTAGGATGTTGTTAAAAAAAACTAAGTGGACAGAGTGTAGAAAGGATCTTGGCATGGGTCATGGAACACAGCAACTGGTATTTATGGTACTGATTATAGTGATAACAATATTGGGGAAAGTAATAACATTTGCTAGAAAGTTTAGGAACCTCTAAGCTTGTTCTCAATCACCGGGCAAGCAATCTATCTATGGCCTAGGAGATGGCTAGCATGGATTGCAGGAATATAGCAATCATTATTCCTCCTTTTGCTCCCATGTTAAATGATGGCCCTTGTCTGCCTGTTTTCACAGGCCTGCACCGTCACAAACTTAAATGGGCTATTTCACTACCAAGTAATGCACAGAGCAAAACAGTGTGGCTGAGAGTAAAAAATATACATACATACTCATTGTTGCTGGCTCTGCCACCAACTTTAGGGACTGTATCAGTTCTGGGATTACGTAAATGAATACATCTATTTCTAATAATCTGAAAGTCTGGAACCTCCTTAACTGATGAAAGGAGAAGCAGGAATCATATTAAATTTTGCCATTTTCATAATGGACAAACAATGCTTTGTTTCATGCCCTTCAGGCAACCATTCTGCACTAGTTTTAGATAACAAGCTCCGTACCCAGCCACATTGCATTAAAACTATGCTTGGAAGGGAAGGCCAGCTGAAAGATTAAATTGCCTTACAAAGTTGAACTAATCTCTTTTAATGCTTTACTTGATATCAATATTCATAAAGCCATCTTCCCCCAAGGGTTTATCAACCTCCTGAAAAAAAAGATAAATGGAGTTGTTTGCATATTGACCCTGTAAGCTTCCCCACTTTAGTTTTCCGACTGCTTCATGAATATCAAAGCCAAGAAAAGTAAAATAAAATTAGACTCACTTATTCACATGCATCACATGAACCCATGTTTCAGAACAGAGGTGACATTATTATTTCTGGTGTGTTCTTCAACAGGAAGACATTATAAAGATTAGTTAAAATACTTGTGCTATGCAATGTAAACGCCATTTGTTTTCCAGTTCTACTTCTCTGAACGCATAGAAACCTTAGTACGAACCTCGGTTGTCTCTGACTGTGAAATTTGGATTGTGAATGATTTCAGGGGGTAGGCTGAAGATAAATCTTGGTCCATTGGCCGTGTCATCCTTGTCATCTGCACTAATTGTAACAATTGGCTGAAAGAGAAAGGTGGCCCATAAATAAATCATGCTGACATTGGCACATCATTTATTCAAAAATTCCTGGCTGACTAGAAACCCTGATTTTAATTAGAGAACACAGCTTCAGAGCAAAACCTTGGCTCTGAAACCTTTTTGGGCAGTGGTTGGTATCTCTAGGTGATGCTTTAAAAGACACACTCTATTTTCAAGTGTGTTGCTCCTAGCCAGGGTTAGGGAAAGCAGCATTACCTGGTTGGAAAGCGGCTTGGTCTGATCACTCTCACAGATGAAACCTTCATAAGGGGCAGCAAACTTGGGAGCATTATCGTTGACATCAAGGACCCTAATGGCCACCGGGACTTTGGCTTCCTGATGCCGATTGTCTGGGAAGAGAGAATGCAGACAGTCGAGAAAGGTCAGGGAGAAATACACATTGGTCCCAGCATGCTCTTGGAAAAGAGTGAGCTACAGCCACCCATTTGGGCAGTGCAGGAAGAGATGTTCTTGTCACAGAATCTATGTAAGAGCTGAAGGGTGCTAAGTACAGTGGGAAAGGCATATCCTAGAATAAGTGTCAATGTTAGATCAGTAAGAACTAAACCACTTTTCCACGTCTACTGATTATGATGCTGAGCTTTAATTCTAAAGGCTTATTATGGATCCTGTTGCCCAGAGAGTAATCTATCAAAGTGCTTCTTAAATGTGGGAGTATACAGAGAAGCATTAAAACCACCTGGGGACTTGTTGGAAACAAAAACTCTCGAACTCTATCCCAGACCTACTGAATCAGCGATTCTGGGGCACGGTCCAGAAAGCAGGCTTAATGACGGGTCAACCTGATGCATGATCAAGTTTGAGTTGTTGTCTATACATAAACAAGAACCCACAAACCTTGGGCCTAAGCACTTTGCTTTTCTGGTTTTAGCAAAGACTAGTGACTGGATGGAGTGGGAAATCTTTCAGTGATGGTTATGAGTTTCAAACTCCTGAGAGCTGTGAACTCTCTTGCCAAGTCTATACACAGTTCTGTCAGAGAAAACAAAAACATCTCCCTTTGCCTATGTGTCTTCCGAGAGAGATAACCAAAAATGCATGTTAAAGACTGAAAAATCTGTTTAAGGCCAAAAAAGTTAGGCTATCTCAGCTATTTTATTTTCCAGAATATAAAGTCTGAAGTAATAATACTTGGTAAAGTAAAATCAAAACCCTGAGGAGAAAACTTACGGATTTCTGCTGCAAAGACAGTGATGTTGAGCCAGGCTGTTTCCTCTCTATCCAGAGGTTTTGTAGTTTTAATAAAACCATCCTCTGGATTAATAGTGAAAAATCTGTCGAGGTCAGTGTGACGATCGATGGAATACCTAAGCAGAATGCAAATGAAGCAATTAGACCAAGACATTCGGAGCAGCTTAATATTTGAATATTTTCTCCTTGCTATATTTAAAGCAAGTTTCTCAATGAATTGCTTAAGCTGGATTTTCTTTCTAATCAAATTTACTTTTGAAACTTCACACATGAATCTTTTATAGAAATAATTTTGCCACACTGGAATTCCTTATTCAGTACAAAGAATGAAAGAGTTGTTCAGCATATTTGATTGAGAAGTATAATAACATGGTGCATATTTCTCCATATTTACTACAATCACCCATCCTCTGAATATTTATGAAACTGCATCTGGGAAGTGAGTTTGCCTTGCTCCCAAACTACTCAGAAAGTCACATATGTATCAAACCTCTGCCAGATTTTTGCATATGAAATACTAAATACTTTCAAGTGTACTAAAACTTATCAAGATCCTGTAATAGACCTAAAAATCCATTTGTCTTTATTTAAAGAAAACTGCAGCCTCGTGTGGTGGCTCACTCCTGTAATCTCAGCACTTTGGGAGGTTGAGGTGGGTGGATCATTTGAGGTCAGGAGTTCAAAACCAGCCTGGCCAATATGGCAAAATCCCATCTCTGCTAAAAAAAAATACAAAAATTAGCTGGGGGTGGTGGCACACCGTATAATCCCAGTTACTCAAGAGGTTGAGGCATGAGAATCACTTGAACACGGGAAGTGAAGGCTACAGTGAGTGAGATGATGCCACTGCACTCCAGCCTGGGTGACAGAGAGAGACTCTGTCTCAAAAAAGAAAAAATTAACTATATTTCAGTAAATCTGTTTAGTTTATCTGGTTTTAGGGGTACTCAGTTTGCTTGCATCTGAATTCCAGTGTGCAATGTACAAAGTAAGCTTGGCCATTTATTTGTAGGGCATTTCTTCCCATATTTTAATGACTCCAGGCTGTGCATAACAGCATAGCTTGAAGGTTTTAGCTGCTCCCATCCACTAAATTAACTTTTTACTAATAAATAACAAAAAAATCACATAATATTATTGGGCTGTATTTATGGCAAAGTGAGGTGGGAGATGGGGGAAGAATGGTTTTACTGAGTTGTAAAATAACTTGCCCAGTATACAATCTTGTTTTAATGGGTCTGTTGAGCTCCAAAGACCTTTCCCTTTCCACTCCCTTATACTAACTTCAAAATAGAAAAGAACAAAAATTGGTTATGTTAATTCAGGTAATATGCTGAGCTTCATAAGTGGGTAGTTTTCTGCTCTTAGAGGTCTAAGTTATGATTTTCAAAAATTTACAGAATGAGTATGTCAGAAGGCATTCAGTGATGGTCAAAAACCAAAGGCTATTAGAGACAGCAGAGACCAGGAATATCAGAAGGTTTAATCACCTAGATTTACAAAAGATGAAATTTACAAATGGCCTATGTCTAGTTTCTGGAAGAGACAATATTGGAACCCAGATCTTCTAATTCCATATCATGTTCTTCTCAGGAAAGAGGGACTCACACTGAGTGACTCTTCACAGTATACAAACATGAGCTCATTCATTATGTCACTTAAGTTCACAGGTCCGCATAAGAATGGAATGAGATGAGTTCCCTTGCACAGTGACCAAACCAAAGATATTTTCAGGAGAGGCTCAGCAACTGAGCCCTCAGCAGATAACACTAAGTGGAAAGGAATCAAAAAAATAATCAAAGACTTTTCTCCTTCCATGAGGGAGCTCACTGTTTAGTTGACATGACAACATACGCATAGAAAGAAAGATCATTAAAAATTCAATCATTATTCTATAGAAATGAATGGCATGAGTTTTGGGGTTTTAGAAGTGCTAGGTACAACTTCATGATCTGCTACATAGAAGCTGGATGATATTGGAAAAGCCACTTAAGTTCTTTGGACCTTAGCATATCTATCTTTTAAAATGCACACAGACACACAGACACACACACACACACACACACACACACACACACACACACACACATATATATATTTTTTCCTTCTAATAGAATCTCACTATGTTACCCCAGGTGGTCTTGAACTCCTGCTTACATCATCCTCCTGCCTCAACCTCCTGGGTAGCTGGGATGGCAGGAACCTGTCTGAACTGGAATATTAATAGTCCCTAACTTTTCTGTTATCTGTGAGAATTCAATAAAATAATAAATGTTTAATATACATAATGTAGTGACTCACACAGAGTAAGCATTGCAACCAACAGTAACTGCTATTATTTTTGTTGTTGATGCTGCTGTTACACACTGAGAATGGATTGTGGAAGCTCTCGAATGTAAGATTGTGACCTTCATCCCATAGCCAGAGAGAAATCATGGAAGGCTTTCAGCAGAGGAACAAATAAATGGAAGCAAGCTCTCAAGGAGATCAATACCATATGATGGGCAAGATGGTCTGAGCAAGATAGAGTAGAAGAAGGAGCAGAGGAAACTTAAGGATTTGATGTCATTTTTAAATACACAACGTGATGAAAGAGAAGTACAGGGTTGACAGAGGAAATGGAATCCTAGATGACGACAAAAGCCCCAGTAGGATTTAGTGGATATTTGAACATCTAGGGAAGGCTGAGGGAAGGTTGTTTCTCACCTGAGTGTCTGAGAGAGGGAGATTTGGAGACACTGAAAAAGAAAGTCTTTGCTATTGTGAATAGTGCTGTGATGAACATTTGAGTGCTTGCGTCTTTTTATTTTCTTTTGGATAAATATTGTAAAATAAATTTTTATAAAATTGATTTTCCTTTGGCTATATGCCGTATAATAAGACGGGATCAATTATACCTCCAACCTCAGAACTATGCAACATAACCATGTAATAAGCCTACACGTGTACCTCTGAATCAAAAATGAAAGTTAAAATTACTTAAAAAATTAAAAATAACGAAAAAGAAAAGGAAAAAAAGTCAATTGCCAGGAAGGAAAGGTTGGCATTTAATAAGGGATATGTCAAAATGCTCAGAGAGCAAAGACTCAACTCGATTGTAGGCTTCGGGAAGTCAGGGTGGAAACAGCCGTTTCTGTTTTAAAGTATGCCACAATCATTATAAGATCAAAAATATGTCTTGGATAAATAAGTGAGCCAGTGAAAGAAAAAGCAAATGGGTGAAAATGCACAACAGACAATATTGTAAATGCAGAATTAGAATTGGGGAGAAAGATCAGCCTAGGAGCAGGAAATCTGAAGCAGCAACTCAGGTCAATTACAGCATAGGTAAAAGCCCGATAGGTGGACACAGAGAGAGAAAGGACCAAGTCAGTGCCTGGACAGGGATTAAAGACTAGTGAAGACATCAGGTACCAGGCACAGTGTTATCAGAGGCATAAGAGATTAGTGCCAAGAAAACTAAAGGGAGAGAATATTTTAGAAAGAAAATCATAAACAAAAATGTGTCTAATGCTACAGTTTAAGAAAAGAAAAATCTGCAGAATTTCCAAGAAGTTGAGTTAGGGTGATATTTCAAGGCCTCTATTATATGTCCAAGGACACAAATTTCCTCAAAGGTGAAGGGAAGCAACCAGGAAATTAGGTAGGGAGAATAAAAGACCCATCAGAAAAAAAGCTTTGAATAGGCTAGGTGTAGTGGTTCATGCCTGAAATCCCGGCATATTGGGAAGCTGAGCCAGGAGGATCACTTAAGCCCAGAAGTTCAAGACCAGCATGAGCAACATAGTAAGACCCCTTCTCTACAAAAACAAAAGCAAAATTAGACAGGCCTGGTGGCATGCACTTGTAGTCCCAGTTACTTGGGAGGCTGATGTGGGAGGATCACCTGAGCCCAGGGAGCTCAAGTCTGCAGTAAGCCATGATGATGCCACTGCACTCCAGGCTGGTTGACAGACTGAAACCCTGTCTCAAAAACAAACAAACAAAAAGCTTTGACTATTCTCTTATAATTTGTCTGGCATTTCTAAAGAACCTAAAGACCCAAGTAGGTGGGAGTGGGGGGTTGGTTCAAGTGTGATATTGAGCATCCTTGGATAATTATAGACATGGAAATTGCCTACATGTGCAGAAGAGCCACATGTAGGCATGAAGTAAACATGACCCAAATAATCAATTGCAGATGTGAATCCTTGAAGACAATGAGGTGCAGAGGGAATGAGTGAGTGTTTCTACGTCACAGTCCCTGCTCTTCTAAAAAGTTTCTAATGCACTTCGATATTCTAGGCCAAAGATAACTCATTTAAAATTCATACCATGAACATTTTTGAGTAGTCTAAAGGTGTTAGAAGAGTCCATAGTCATTATGTAATGTATCATTCTGCACAGAGAGAATACAGTAATCAAACCTTCTTGGGAAATCTTTCCATTAGAGGCTGCTGAGTTAAAGTAAAAATCTCAGAATGAACTCAAGACAGATCTGGGTTAAAATCCAGTGTTCAACACTGACTGTCCACATGACTTTAAAATAGTCCCATCATAGCTTCAAGCCTCAGTCTTCCCACCTATTCAATTCAAGAGCAGTCATAGCCACAAAGAATGTCAGTGAGAACTGACTGAAATAACTTTGTAAAACCTGTAGTATGAGGCTGAGAAGACGTTCAGTAAATGTTAATTACCTCTCTTTTCCTCAGAAGAATCAATGTTCAAAGATCCAAAAGCAACACAACAACACTTATAGTTGGGAATTTTTTCTTCCCTTCCACTGTTTTCTTTGATAGAAATGGACAAACTCCATAGTTCATGTAATTACTTTTCATACTTAGATCCATTTACTCTTTAATAAGTGTCTGCCTCCCTAAGTACGTTGGGAAACCCCAGTGTGTGCTCAATGAAGATTTGTTAAATGAATGTGTGAATAAGATGTCATCACTTCTATTACACTTCCTATTTCACACTCAGAAACTGTGAGCTTGACGTTCTAAGTCAAATCAGGAGTTATTTTACTTATTTGTTCAATAAATATTTGTTAGATATTGACTTTGGGCTATGTACTCTGTTTAGTGGTAGGTGCAGTGATGAGTTAGAACAGGGGCCAGAAAACATGTTCTGCAAAGGGCTAGCCAGCAAATGTTTTAGCTCATGCAGAAATTAGAATCTCTGTCTCAACTACTCAACTCTGCCCTTGTAGCAGGAAAGGAGACATAGGTAATATGCAAACAAATGGTGTGACTGTCCTCCCATATAACATTATCTACAAAAATAGGTGGTGGGGAAAAGATGAAGAACTCACAGTTCCTGATTTCGAAACATATTACAAAGCTATGGTGATGAAGACTATGTGGTACTGCCGAACGGACAGACATATAATCGGTGGAATGTAATCAAGAGTACAGAAACAAACCTGGATTCTATGACCATCATCAATTTCCAACATTAATGCCAAGACCATTCAATTAAGAAAGAATAGTCTTTTCAACAAATAGTGCTGGAATAATTGGATATGTATATGCAAAATAATAAAGTTGGATCCCTTCCTGAGAACATATATAAAAGTATACTCAAAATTGATTTTAAAAACTTATATGTGAAAGCTAAAACCATAAAGCTTAACGTGTAAATCATCATGACCTTAGACAATTATTTCATTATAGACATTAAAAAAAATAGATCCATTGGAACTCATCAAAATCAAACCTTTTACACCTCAAAGGACACTGTTAAAACACTGAAAAGATATCTCATTGAATGAGAAAAAAAATATTTGCAAATCATATATCTGATAAGGCCCTACCATTCAGAATACATAAAGAACACTTACAGCTCAACAACAAAAAGATAAATAATCCAATTATGAAATGGGCAAAATACTTGAACAGATATTTCTCCCAAGAAGATATACAAATGGTTAATAAGCACATAAAAAGATGCTCAGACCAGGTGCAATGTCTAATGTCTATAACCCCAGCACTTTGGAAGGCAGAGGCAAGTGGATCACTCGAGGCCAGGAATTTGAGACCAGTGTGGACAACACAGCAAAACCCCTCTCTGTTAAAAAAGAGTAGCTGGGTATGGTGGCCTGCTCCTGTAGTCCCAGCTCCTCGGGAGAATTGCTTGAACCTAGGAAGCAAAGACTGCAGTGAGCCGAGATCACGCCACTACATTATAGCCTGGGTGACAGTGCGAGACTCCGTCTCAAAAAAATGTGTTGAATCTGTGATTCAACCCCTTCTCAGCCTCCTTCTCATCACCTTCTCATGAGTGGAGGAGCGGAGTTCTGGATCACTTTTCCTTTTTTCTTTTTCTTTCTTTCTTTTTTTTGTTTTTTGAGATAGGGTCTCACTCTGTCGCCCAGGCTATAATGCTACTCTCACTGCAGCCTCGATTTCCCAGGTTCAAGCAATTCTCCTGCCCCAGATTTCCAAGGAGCTGGAATTACAGGTATGCGTCACCATTCCCAGCTAATTTTCGTATTTTTAGTAGAGACAGCATTTCACTGTGTTGTCAAGGCTGGGCTTGAACTCCTGACCTCAGGTGATCTACCCACCTTGGCCTTCCCAAAGTGCTGGGATTACAGGTGTGAGCCACTGTGCTGGCCACAGTTCTGGATCACTTTTTTTTTTGTCACACACACACACAAATGTATTCATAATAAGAACAGCACCTGAAATTTATTTGGACACTTGGTTACTTTCACAAAGTATTCAGCAGCAGTTAGACAGAGCTGGTTTTCTTTGCCTCCTGCTCAGTGGCTGTGTCATTGCAGGCAAGTCATTTTGTCTTGCAGTGCCTCCAATTTCCTCTCATTTTAAGGGATAACAATTCATGCATCAGTTACATTGAGGGGATAGATTAGATCACATATCTAACCTCTTCACAGAGTAACTGGAGGATGGGAAGGTAGCCAACAAATTGCAATTACTCTAATTATTCCACAATCATTATTTATACTTCACCACAGTCCCCTGAGGCAGACAGGCCCAGCTCAGAGTTATATCACCTAGTATGCCGGAGAAAATCTGCTCCAGAGAAACGTCACGTAGCCTGAACAACCCTATCCAAAGTCAGGAACTGAGGTCAAGTGAAGCTCATGTCTTCTAAATCTTAATTTTGTTTACATTCTGTTGAACCTGATAAACATGGACTCTTTTTGAAACTGAAGAACGTGGTTCCTACAGGGCGTTCCCAGAACCTCTTGACTCTAAAATTCCTCATCCATTCCCTTAAAATAAATCATTCTGTACCTTATCTGACTGTTGGCAGCATCAGGGTCTTTGGCATGCACTCTCCCAACCACGGTCCCAGCAGCTGCATTTTCTTGGACTTCGTGGATGTAACTTGGGGCCAAGAACATAGGGGGCTCGTCAGCATCTTCCACTGCAATCTTGACGGTCACGGTGTCCTTGAAAGGCCCATTGCTGATAAACTTCTGGTCGATGTGCATATTGGCTGCCTCTACCTTCAAGCTATAGGCTCTTTTGGTTTCAAAATCTACAGGCTGGCAAGAATGAAGAGAAGATTGACAACCAATTCCTTGAAAGAATAATGGAAGAGAAAGACCTGATTGTTTTACAGGGCAGAGTGAATAGTTTCTCAAAGAGAGAAAATCAAAATCTATTCAATATCAAATTACCTGAGCCATTTGGTCAGAAAATCAGACAAATCAACTGCTGAAACTTAGAATGTGCTTAGTGGGTCACTCTAAGAGCATGACAGATACAGAAAGACCATATCATCTAAAGTGAACTTTACTCTATATAGCAACACTAATGTTGCCCAAATCAGTCACTAAGAACTATCTAAGGAAGGGAATTAAAATGCTACAAAAGTACATTTGGTAGCTCATTGTGAAAAGTATTAAGTATCTTGGTAACAAAAATACCCACTGAATTTCAGCCGAAAAAACATGTCTTGTTTGTTGATTGCCTTATACCTCTCCTAAACCCAACCATGCAGCTTGATCAGATGGAAAGCTTCATGTTTAAACTTTCTGACGACATTATGTTTCCCACTGTCTGGGACTCTTAGCAGCAGTGGCCCAGAAGATGACTTAGGGTGGTTTATAGGTAATTTTGATAGGTGAGGTTGTCAAATGACATTAACTTACCTATTGAGATAATTATTTCCTTTCCAAGTCTTTAAATCCTTAACACACCAAGTAGAACACCTCCACTTTAACATATCTGCTCTGTTTCGCAATCTCTTTTGTGAGAGATTATTACAACCCTAGTTAGAATGCAATGGCATTGTTTTGGTTTGATTGCATTTATTTTTAAGTTGCCTTCTATTTTTGGCAAGTGACAAGATAATGAGGGAAATGCTTCCTTAAAATAAAAAAAAATGCATATATATTAAAGATGGTCTATTTAAAGAAAAACAAATGTAAGCAGTAAAATTTTACATGGATATGAAAGAAAAAAGTGAGTAGTAGCATTTGAACGGCTGTAGTTATAGAAAAATTGATGGTAAACACTCCCTAATTCTGAATGAGAGGAGTTAACAGTGAATCACTCAGCAAAGGGTGGAAAGTAACATTGTAGCAGAGAAACAAGTCCTGATACCTAGAAAACAACTTTCTCATTAGCACTCTGGATATTGCTGAACTACCAAATGTTTGGAAAGAGTTTCACCTTTTAAGGTGAGCATCTGCCTCCCATGCTGTTGTAATTTGCCTGGCAAACACTTATTCTGAATGGGCATGTAGTCATGGGGCTTATTCCTGACCTAATTTTGCAATACTCTAAACTAAGGCTGATAGCAGTTTCAACAGGGTTAAACATGTTGGATATCCTTGACACTTTTTCCATCATCTTCTCACCTCCATCTTCCCAGTCAGGAAATTCTACCTTTCCTAAATCTAAATCTGCCCCCAGCCTTTCCATCAACCTGGGGCCCAGCTGTTCTTGGCTAGGTTACAGAGCAGTGAAAAAGGAATGATATTTATAGGCTGAACATACAAGATTGCTGCAACTTTTCACAAATCCCTTCAATTATTGGCATCAAACACTGCAATATGATAGTTCTGAGACTGGGGAATTTATAATCAGAAAAGTAGAAAATTTCTAATAACAGATATTCTGTTGATGTTGGTACAGCAGAATCTTTTGTACTTGGTTTAGGCATATGCCTAAGGACCTGGAGCCATTTTCCCACGGAAAGCCCTGTTGGTGTTGAGGATACTATCCTCATGCTGCAGTCTGGCTGATACATTTCACATCCCAAGCTAAGCTCTCCAGGTCTCTGAAAAGGTTTGTGTGGGATGGCCTTTCCTGGTTTGGCAAGATTCCAAGTCTGGTAGTCAGTTTAAGCCTCATTGCCTTGTGAAGTCCTCCTCAATAGCCCCAGGTAGATTTGTGGGGTCTCCTAGTGGCCCGCTGGCAGCCCCTCATTTTCCTCCCCAGTGAGGTAGGGATGGAGTGAGATAGAGAAGAGCATCCCTAAGCAGTCTATAGAGTCTTGCTGCTCTTTGCTGATCTTTGTCCCACAGTATGCAAGAATGACTGGACCAAGTAATAATATGCATCCATCATTTTGACTGGAGTAGGGCTGATAGATGCATAACATTTAGACATTTGCCTACAATTCTTTCCCTTCCTCCCTCCAAAAAAGATGTGAGGTAGTTTCCCATGTGAACATTTATGTCCATGTTATGAGTAGTTGAAATAAAGCTAAATGAGGCAACACATTGCATAAGCCATAAAAATCTTAATACCCCCTAGTTTACTAATCTCACCTCTGAAAATCTTCCCTGAGGGATTAATTCAACAGAAAACCAAAACAAACAATATTCAAAAATGCATGATATGTGTTAGATACAATAGAAGGTTATATCTAAACTGTGGAAATGTACACACAAAACACCAAATCCAACTGTGAGATTTTATTAAGGAAATAATGATTTGTCAATAGGATGGGATGTTATGTAGCCATTAAAAATGATTACAGATATTATATAACAGCATGTAAAATGTTTATGATGTGACATTAAGTTAACAAATCAGATCACCCTCTGATTGCAACCGTGTTAAATGTGACGTATCCACATCTATATACATGTGGACAAAGAATATCAAGAAAAATCAGACATAAAAATAGTTTTATTAAAATAGGGAATATTAAAAATGCCTTCTAATTCTGCTCTTACCCTACTTTACAAGTAGTTTATTTGGTTGAAAATAAATAGCTCAGACACTGTGCTGAGATTTCTCTGAGAGAGATAGGATTCCCATTTAGTCAAAGGCGCTGCGTGAACAGATTGGATTTTCCTCTCAAAGCCCACCAAGCCCCCTAAAACTTCACTTTATTTTAATTTAATTTAATTTAAATTTTTAAATTTATTTACTTATTTATTTATGTACTTTGGGCTCTGGGGTACACGTGCACATTCCGCATCCTGCAGGATTGTTGCATAGGTACATACATGCCATGGTGGTTTGCTGTCTCCATTCTCCAGGTGTTATCCCTCCCCATTCTTACTGCTCCCCGCCCCCGCCGCTGTCCCTCCACTCCCCTCCTCTCCACCCCCCACCACACCTAGCCCAGTGAGTGTTGTTTCCTTCCCTGTGCCCAAGTATTCTCATTCTAAAACCTGGCTCTTCCTCAGCTAGCCACATAGAGATTATCTAAATACCCCAAGGGTAGTTTCTCTCTCCCTTGTCCACCATTAAACTAAGACACAGAGTCAGAACTCAAGAAGTATTTGTTTTCTAAAATACTCAATAAATGAATGACTCTATCTAGTAATTATTTCTTGAATTCACCTCCTTCATTACCATCTCACTGCCTCTTCTACCTTCTTCAATTCTTTGTAATATCGCCCTTGAATTTTAACAAGTTTGTCCATTGATTTTACTGTATCTATCTTAAGACTCAAGATTGAAGTTTCTTAAATGTGTCCTGTTTCCATTGATACTAGCCCTTCATGAGCTATTTTTTTCCTGCCTTTTCTGTCCTTAACTATCCAGCAAATTCCTCCTCATCTATCAAGATTCAACTTGAGAACTGCCCCCTAAGAAGTCATTCATGACCCATGTTCATAGGTCTTATCATACTATTACAGTCCGTTTTCAACTGGGGAGTGATTTTGCTCCCAGTTACTCCAGGGATATCAGACAATGTCTAGAGTAATTATTTTTATTACTATTATCAGGACTCTTGGGGGTGGGCAGAGCATGAGCTTACTGATCTTTAGTGAGGGGAAACCTAGAATGCTACCAAATATCCTACAATACACAGAACAGCCTCCTGCAACAAAGAATTATCCAGCCCAAGACATCAACACTGCCAAGGCTGAGAAAACCCTCTTGGTTTTAATTATTGTTTCACTTCACTGTCCTGTTAAATTGTGAACTCCCTGTGGTCAGGACTCAATCTCTTCAGCTTTAGATTTCCAGTCTCTGGCAAAGGGCCTGCCTGACAAATAATAAGAACGCAGTTACTCTTGGAGGAAAAATGGGTGAATGAGTTAGAAATAAACAAAAATACTAAGTTAAAAAATGCTTTAAAATGCAAAAATATTGCTATAATGTCTCTGTAGACTTTTATGGTATTAAATTGAGTATAATGACTTTCACAAGGAGTCGTATTTTTCTCTGTTAAATCCATCTCTAATTTTTCTTTTCTTTTCCCTTGGTGGACATTTGGAACTTTGTGCTACAAGTTTAAACAAATGTTCTTTTACAAATGAAATAACATCTAGCAGTGTTTTAAACCTAAACATCAGTGCTTTATAGAAGATTATTCTTTTGCCAAAATAAACACACTGAATTGGGGGGAAATGTGCAAATTAATCACATGCAGAGAGCTCATTTACAATGTGTAAGTTCCATTGGGGTGACTTAAATATTTCAAGATTTCAGAGACAAAGTGTGTGTTTATGCCCTGAATACACTGAAAACAGGTGACAACCTTAGCATAACCAACTACCCAATTACGGACTGCAAAGGATGGGAGGCAGGAATTGCTGATGTCAATGTTCATAAGTCAGTGTCAAGCAGAAGAGATAGTAATATTAATTAACGAAGTAAGTTGACAGCTCTAGGCAACACACAATTCGCACAGCTACTTTTCCGGAGGAGAAACCCGAATTAGTGACTACCCTAGCTCCCTGTGGTTGATAATTAGGCTTCCTTAGTCCTGCCATTCATCCACCAATGTAGACTTTTCCAAGTAACCAAATTTCACCCCAACTTCCATATCCTTCATTTTCTTTATTTTTCTTATAACAGAGTCACCCCCACCTTCTCTTTGGTTTGTGCCCCGTAATATTTTCCCCAACCCCAACATACTTTAAAATGCTGTGAAAGATCAGCTTCTTAGCACAGGTCACTCCTTGCTCACCACCTCAAAGATTCCTTTCAGGACCAGTCTTCCCCCACTGGTCCTTGGCGCCTCTTTAGCTACTGGCCTCTTTATTGATTTTTCAAATTAATTTTCTATCAGTGTTACAGTCCAATCTTTTCCATTACACCAAGGAGTTTAATATTCACACTACAAAACCAAGTTGAAAATGAATGCTTGATTAAAACCAAGGTAATCCCATCCTTCAATTTCGATTTAATGCTCCATACACTCTAATGATGGAGAGGTGTTGATTTCTCAAGTGGTAAATCACGGGGAGAAACCATCTTAGAAGGTACTGGGACTATTTCTTCACTTGGAAGTGAATCTTATCTGGTTCTTTTTACAAACGCTTTCTGGCCCAGCTGTTTTCAAAATGCCTTGAGAGGGAAGATGCTCTAGAATAACCCTGGTCTGAATTCTAGGTCTGCCTGCCTGAGCTGTGTGACAGTGACTGGGCCAAACGATTTCATCTGTCTGAGCCCGAATCTCCTCAAAATTAAGTGGAAGTCTCTTTGCCCATTGGGGCAATGCCACCTACTTTGTATGATTATTTTTTGTGTGTGAAAAGTAGATAAAATTAAGAGCCTGGTGCTATGTCTGGCCAGTAGTTAGCATTGAGTAAACATAAAAAAGAAGAAACACTAGACTTCTCTTTGTAATGAACTAATCCCAGAGACATGTTTTTAATGACTGACTATGGCGGGAGGTCAATCATTGTTGCTTCTCCAGGTTCACTTGAGATAAAAACGAGCAGAGAATTGGCTTAAGTTTCACAGAGAGTCCAGCAATGCAGTGAATCTTGGATGTTGAAACAGGTAAAGTTCTGAACAGCCTACTTAACAGATTCAGCTTGGCAGGGCTAAAAGGTGGCAGGGGGTGGGGGAGAGGAATTCCATGCATGCTCAGAGCTTCTTCAAAATCTAGATTTATCTCATTGTCCTTCCCTCCATGGGAAAATATTTAAGAACTAACTAGAAATCTCAGGCAGGTATCACCAACCCCTTTTGTCAGTTTCTCTGCAGTAACAGAAACGAATACAATTCCGTGATCTTCCAGAGCTCAGGGCTCAACTACAAAGTTGGATTATCCCCCAATTTCACAAATTCTGACATTTTTTAACCATTACCTCCCTGTTTCTTGCAGTGTTGCTTTGGCAGAGCTGGCCATACCACTGACACGTCTGATTCCTTACCCTAACTCACCTTTTTCAGCTTTATCACGCCCTCCTGTGTTTCATAGTCCGTTGTGATTTCAAACAATTCCATACCATCTCCATCAACAATACTGTATGTGACTAAGCCATTCTCTCCAATGTCTGGGTCTTTAGCTTTCACTCTTCCCACCTCCTCCCCGGGGACACTTGCTTCTGACACAGACATCTGGTATACACCTAGAAGAAGAAGACATCTGTTTTTATTTTCCCTTTTATTTGGCAGCTGTAAGACTATAGATTTCATTGAATCCCAATACATTTCTCAAAGGATCAGAAATGGAACTTTCCATTGATTGAAACATGAAAGAAGTGAATGGTGTGGGGAGGAAGATCCCACATGGCCTGCTTGTCAAAAGAATGTGTTTTACAAATGATGATAAAACAATATCCAGGTCCAGGTGAAATGCTGGGGTCACCTGCCACATGTAAGGGAGGAAAACAATGCTCTGTTATATTTCCCATCAGGTAATGGAGAACAGGAAACATGTCTTGATCTATTAAAACAGCTGAGGCTTCTTTTCATGTCTTGTTGATGTTCCATGAACTAATTCCAAGGCTCACTTATGGTATTGCCAGGTGCCCAGAAAAAAAAATTCTCTGTTTAAAAGCTGTCCTTCAACAGCTCCGTATTTGCTTTAAAAATGCAAACTTTAACATAATTCCCTATCTAACTCTACATTGGACACTTCCCTTTTTTCACCTCCTTTACAACTTGGTCAGGTTTTATGTTCTCCAGAAAGCTTTCCTGCAGTGTGACCCTTCTATATATTTATTTAATGTTTACTGGGAACCTAATACTGTACATGGAGGTAGTGTCCTAGTGCCAGGACACTGTTTTATTTAGTTGTTTTGTTTACTACTAAACAAAACAGTCAGGATTCCTCTCAATGAAGCAGACTAAAAAGAAAATATAAAAACAAATGTAAACACATTCTGATATCATTGCAATGAAAAAGGAAAATAAAATAGATTAAAAGGGTTAAGATTCTGAGAGAATGACTATGTGGTTGTGTGTGTAACTGCATGATTGTGTGTGAGGGTGAAGGTGTAAATGTGTGAGTGGCTGTAATTGTGTGAGTATGAATATGTTGCTCAAGAGTGTGAGTGTGTGTATGAATGTGTGAGCTATTTGTGTGAATTTGTGTATTTGTATGAGTGTGATTGAATGCACGTGCTTGTGTTAAATATGTGTGGGTGAGAAGCAGAAAGAGAGACTGGTTTTCAGTAGTGTGGTTGGAGAAGACATTCTTTAGAAAAACGAATCTAAAAAGACTGAGCAAGACAATTATGTGAGTATCTGCAGTGTAAAAACTACAAGCCAGGTGATTAGCAAATGACAAAAACCCCAAGATAAGAAGATCCTGAATACCTACAGAGGAATAAGAGGAGGAGAGTGACTACAGCCTTCCGGTGAGAGATAAGGGCATGTAGGGAAGTGGAGGCCAAATTGTGTAAAATAGATCATTGTGGGAGATGGAAAAGACTTCAGGTTTTGTTTTAACTTGGGGAAATCACTGGAAGGTTTTCAGTAAGGAGTTAAGATTCAACATTATCTTATTTGCTTTTCACATCTAATGCTCTGTGTAAGATACAATATAGAGAAGCCAGCGTTGAAAATCTTGCCTCTATCATTTCCAAGCAAAGTGGTCTTGGGCAAGTTACTTAAGCTCATTATATTTTAATTTCCTCTTATAGAGATTTCATCAGTTCCAATACTTTGTCTATATTTACCAATAGTGCTTTGCTTTGCAACTTCCTTTTGGACTCATATTTTTTTAATCTCACCATACCCTCTATATTAAAGGATGAGTAAGAAGTGGGAGTCCCTTGTAGACAATTACCAATTACTCTGAAGATTTGGAAAGAAAAAAAAAAATGTCTTATGTGGATTTTCTCCAAATCTCATTCAAGTTCATGACTGTGAAACCAAGACAGCCAGTACAGTAGCAATGCAACTTTACAATATGATTGTCTATGACTAAGGGTAGTAAAGGCTGGCTGCTAATAATTCTGCTTGACCTTTCTTTTCCAGCACACCAGACAATCATACAGTATGGATAATGGAGCATGCAGTTTTAGAATGTTATATGAGCCTCAGGCTTATTGAGGATGCTGAACTTGTGCCTGGCCAGGCAAAGCAGTCTTGGGTAGATTCTTTTCCTTTAATTCCTTTGAGTAACCACAGTGCCTTTCTGGGGCCACATTCAGTTGCCTTTCTTGTTATCTCATTTGCAAAAAGTTCCATCTCTCTGATAGTAAGCTCATAGGCTCTAATTGAAAAAAGACACTTTCATGATGACCCACTCCCGCCATGCACCAACAGCACCAGCAGCACCACACTCATACTGTCCTTTCATATACATCTACATGTACATGGACAGACTTGTGTTCAAACTCTGACTTTGCCATATCTCTAGGGCATCTTCTGCACTTTTCACAGAAGCAAGGTTTATCTGTAAAATATAGGTTCTTGCAGAGATCTACAATAGTAGCACTATCATTAAAAGCTGATAGTTGCTGTAATTACAATTATTAATAACAACCTTTCGAAATCATTTTTTTTAATTTAATTCCCTCAGCAATTTTATAAATTTTGTAGGACAGCCATAATTCTCCAGGTAACAATGGCTAGAATTTGTTGACAACATATAGCCAGTTGTCATTATAAGATTCTACACTAGCTCCTTTAGTACAAACAGTAATCCTATGAATTAAGTACTATGGAAGATTGCATTTTCCAAAACATGGCCAAAACGATATCCCCCATCTCACATGCTTTTCCTTCAACATGACTTTGACAGGTCTTCCATTGAAAGGTAGGGTCTCCATGAACTCCACTTAGATCTGTGCAGCCTTATGACTCCAGTGGAAACAATATGATGTGACTTCTGAAGCTATTTAACAAAAGGCAACACAGTTTCTGCCTGGTGTCCTTGGGGATCACACTTTCAGAAACCAGCCCACGCAGAAAGGAAGCAGCAATCAACACAAGCTTGCCAGCCATGCAAGTAAGCTCTTTTGGAAGTGGATCCTCCAACCCCAGTGGAGCTGTCCCAGCTGATGCTGTGGGGAACAGAGGCATGCTGTCTCCCTCAAGCCTTGCCCAAATTGCAGACTCATGATATAAACAAATTATTATTATTACTGTTTTAAAACACTAAGTTTTCCAGGAGTTTGTTACATAGCAATTGATAACTGATTCAGGTACTGTTATATCCAGGTTAGAAATGAGGACACTGAGACAGAAAAAGGTTAATTAATTACTAGATTGCACCACTAGTACCTAGCAAAATGCTTAGCAAAAATAATACTTTGTTTCCAGGGTTGTAGAAAGTTTCACATCTTTCCTTTCTCCTACTTACTCTGTTCCACAGACATTTTTGTTGTTTTTGTCGTCTTGTTTTTCTGTTTTGCTTTTGTAAGAACGACGTGAATTGCCTCTAGTTTTCTAGATTTTCCTTTGATACCTCAGTAAAGCAGGAATGGGTTAGAGGAGGCAGAGAGATGGCTGTGGCACCATGGAAAAGTGAAAGCCAAGCCCACCTACTTACTCTGTGGAAACTTTGGTGGGTTGTCATTGACATCGGTCAGTGTGATCGTCACTTTGGTTGTCCCTGAGAGTCCGCCCATGTGTCCACCCATGTCCTTGGCCTGTATCACCACGTGGTACTCCTCCTTGGCCTCCCTGTCCATGTTGGGTAGGGCTGTTCTGATGATACCTGGACAGGAGAGCAGAAAACATCACAGATATTCGTTTATAACAACATTATGACAACAAGAAAGTTCTGAGCACTGAGGAAGCAATGCTGAATAAAATAGCCCATGCCCTCAGCAAGAATCATTTCAACATGATAATTATGACCAAAGGCAGCCATACTGAAGCATCATTATGTCTTTTCAAGCAAATCATAAAAATTACTATATAGCACTTGTATTTATGTTTTGTTGTACATGCAAATAATAACCTTATTCTTCTCAGACATAAATACCCTAGACTGAAATATTTGTGTGGTGATTACATGGATACCCATGACTAAACTCATATTTTTTGACTTCCAGCACAATCTTTTGTAAGACTATTGCTGCATACAATTCATAGGAATGTTTCGATGGTGCATATTAAGTTTAAAGTAAGAGGATCATATTTCCTGCAATACATTAAAATGTAAATGTTAATTTTTAAAAGAATGAACCAATGAGTTAAAATATGTACAATGCTTATACAAGCGCATACTGTCCATTATCACCTGTCAGTGAAAACAATTATAATAATCGAATTCTACATGATTGCTGGATATTGACCCATGATGGCATGATCACTTAAATCTTTAGGAGACATTTGGAAGCTTTTTCTCTCTGTAGATATGACAACATTTATGTGACAAATATAGAGAGCATTGTGGAAGCCTTAGTCCTTATTGTTCTCCTCCTACTGACATTAAAGTTTAATTTTAAGATGATATTTGGTTTTGGTCATCGTGAAATATAGGAAAAACAATAATAAATGTTTCATGGTATGCTAACTATATGCCAGGCACAAGCCAAGAGTCTAATACTCACATTAACCCTGTAAGGTAGCCCCTTTTTATTCTTTTTATATATTTGAGAAAACAGAGAAATAAATAGGTTTACTTTATCATGCCTGGGACCTCCTATTCACCATGTGTCACAAATCACAGTGACATTCCACAGTACCTGTCTGTGCTTCCACAGAAAAATAGGGTTGTCCTTCGAGGATACTATACACTAACTTGGCGCTATTTCCGTAGGTGGGGTCATCTGCATCTGAAGCTGTCACCTGGATTACTGACGTTCCTTAAAAGTGAAATAAATTAATTAGCAACATCCCCTCAGCTTTTCAAATTATGTTCTTGTTTACAAAGTTTTATTTTAAAATCAACCCTGAGGAGGGCACTACAATTATTCAACATGCTCTCATTTTCCTGGAGTTGAGATACAAAACAACCAACCTTCCTCCCTTCCTTCCTTTACTATAAAAATGCCCACAGTTTAAAAATGAACTTTCTGTATATATAGTATATCCTGCATTGGTTGGTAATTAAAATAATATTATAAACATTATTGCAAAAATATCTTAAAACTCATGCACCTCAAAAGTTCGTTATATCAAATAATTACATTAAAATCTTCCCAAAGAGTATTATAAATGATAATTAACAATAAATTGCTTTTCATGAAAGGACAAAGTGCAATCTTCCATTTGTAGCAGAACAATAAATACATCATTTTATTGTTGCTTTCCATGTAATAAAATTGCTGCTAATACTATGATTTAATTAATTTATGACCATAAATATTGAGCAGAATGTTGTTCCCTACTGGCATGAAAATTGCATCTTCCCACATGTAGCTGGTCTGGTAGCCACAGAAATCAACAGTAGACATCTGGCAAGAGGTAAGGGGAGCTTTCATGGGTCAGATTGAAGGGAAACCAGGAAATTGAAGAAAGATGGGGTTCTGATTTTTCTAAAAACAACCTTTGTTCCTGGCTGGTCACAAATAGCAAGTATCTAGGGCATGACGTGTTGGGCTTCAGGGTGGGGAGAAAGGAGCTGGAAGAAGAAAACCAGCAATTATCGAATTTCTCTGTGCCAGCATGGTCTGGGGGCACATTCCACGTATTTTACCAGCATTACTCTGTTGGGCATTTTTTACATCCACTGTATTTGTGAGAAATTGAGTATGAGAGATATGAAGCTTTGTAATCTATTTCACAAAGCTGGTAATTGCCAGAGTCTGACCCCGATCCAGCATGCAGCCAAACTCAAGTTCTTTCTGTAACATTTTCAGCAGAGGAGAGGGGCAAGGTTCTATGTGGGAGGCAAGGGTGCCAGTTTACACAGCCTCTCACTACCTTTAATTTATAAGGTTGTCAGTGATTTTTGTGTGGTGTACACCTCACTTTTTTCTAGTTACCCTTCTATAATTCATTATTTCATAGAATAAAAATCCTCTTTGGAGCTCTTCCCATTTGTTAGTCACTATTCTAGGCAGGGCAGATTTATAAAAGAAAATACCTTCATGGTGTGGCTAGGGAAATCATTAATTTTTAATGCTTAATTTCCTTCTAGAACTCTGCTACATCCTTTAAAATGCTTTTGTATTTCACATCTATCTTATTTAACCCTCAACATAGTTTATATTATTCTCATTTTATAGATGGCAAAATAAAAACTTTGAAAGGTATAATGGGTTGCCTGGGTTCACATGGCTGGTTAGGAGTACAGCCATACTTCATAGTATTGTCTGACAATAAAGACTATACTGTCATATACCATAATAGAATACATGAGTGCTCAAAATAATAAGAGCCATCCATGACACTACATCCCAGCATCACACTGAATGGGCAAAAGTTGGAAGCATTTCTTTTTCGAGCAAGAATCAGACAAGGATGCCTACTCTCACCAGTCCTATTTAACATAGCACTGGAAGTCCTCACCAGAGCAATCAGGCAAGAGAAAGAAATAAAAGGCATCCAAATAGGAAAATATCATATCTTCAACAATAATGTGATTCTATACCTAGAAAACTCTAAAGGCTCTGCCAAAAGTCTCCTAGAACTGATCGACAACTTCAGTAAAGCTTCAGAATACAAAATCAAGGCAGAAAAATCAACAACATTCCTATGTACCAATAACACTCAAGCTGAGGGCCAAATCAAGAATACAGTGCCATTCACAATAGCCACAAAGCAATAAAATATCTAGGAATACTTCTAACAAAGGAGGTGAACGATCTCTACAAGGAGAAATTCAAAACACTGCCAAAAGAAATCATAGATGACACAAACAAATAGAATATTGATCCTTTCAATGATATTGATTCTTTCAACCTATGAGCATAGCATGTTTTCCCATTCTATATCATTAAAATGGCTACACTGCTCAAAGCAATCTACAGATTCAATGCTATTTCTTTCAAACTGCCAACATCATTTTTCACAGAATTACAAAACAAAATTGTTCTAAAACATATATGGAACAAAAAAAGAGCCCGAATAGTCAAAAGAATCCTAAGCAAAAATAAGAAAATTGGAGGCATCACGTTACCCAACTTCAAACTATACTACAAGGCCGCAGTAACCAAAACAGCATGGTGCTGGTACAAAAGCAGACACATAGACTAATGGAACAGAATAGAGAGCCCAGAAATAAAGCCACATATGTACAGCCATCTGATCATTAACAATGTTGACAAAATTAAGCAATAAGGAAAGTATTCCTTAATCAATAAATTACGCTGGGGTAGCTGACTCGCCTTATGCAGGAGAATGAAACTTGACCCCTACCTTTCCCCATATAGAAAAATTAATTCAAGGTAAATTAAAGATTTAAATGTAAGGCCTCAAACTATAAAAATCTTAGGAAAAATCTAGGAAACACCATTCTGGACATTGGCCTTGGGAGATAATTTATGACTAGGTTCTCAAAAGAAATTGCAAAAAAAATGGAAGTTGACAAGTAGGACCTAATTACACTGAAGAACTTCTACACAACAAAGGAAACTATCAAAAGAGTAAAGAGACAACCTACAGAATGGGAGAAAATATTCACAAACTACACATCCAACAAAGGTCTACTATCCAGAATCTATAAAGAAGTTAAACAATTCAACAAGTGAAAAAACAAGCAATGTCATTAAAAAGTGGGCAAAAGACATGAATCAAAAGAAGATATGCAAATGGCTAACAAACATAAAAAAAAAAATTGGTCTTCACTAAACATCAGAGAAATGTAAGTGAAACCCATAATGAGATACCATCTCACACTAATTAGAATAGCTGTGATTAAAAAGTCAAAAAATAACATGCTGGTGGGGCTGTGGAGAAAAGGGAACACATATAGACTGTTGGTTGTAATGTACTTTAGTTCACTGTGAAAAACAATTTCGAGAAGTCTCAAATAAAACAGATTTACAATTCAAGGCTGGGTGCAATCCTAGCACTTTGGAAGCCAAGGAGGGTGGATCACCTGAAATCAGGAGTTACAGATCAGCCTAGCCAATATAGCAAAACCCTGTGTGTACTAAAAATACAAAAAAAATTCGCCAGGCCTGGTGGTAGGTGCCTGTAATCCCAGCTAAATGAGAGGCTGAGACAGGAGAATCACTTGAACCCAGGGGGCAGAGATTGTCATGAGCCAAGATCACGCCACTGCACTCCAGCCTAGGAGACAGAGTGAGGTTCTGTCTCAGGAAAACAAACAAACAAACAAACAAACAAACAAAAACAGAGTTACAATTCAACCCAGCAATCCCATTATTCTTTATAGACCCAAAGGAAAATAAATTGTAAAACACCTGCACTTGTATGTTTATTGCAGCACTATTCACAATAGCTAAGACATGGAGTCACCCGAGGTACCCATCAACAGTGGATTGGATAAACAATATGTGGTACATATATACCATGGAATACTATACATGGTGGCATGAATAATATCACCCCTTTGCAGCAACACAGATGCAGCTGGAGGTCATTATCCCAAGCAAATTAACATAGGAACAGAAAACCAAATTCCACATGCTTTCTTTTATAACTGGAGGCTAAGCATTGGGTATAAATGGACTGAATGTTTACCCAGCGGGAATAATAAACATGAAATTACTAGAGTGGGGCGAGGGGGCAAGTGCTGAAATCTATTGGGTACTCTGCTCACTACCTGAGTGATGGGATCATTCATACTGCAAACCTCAATGTTACACAGTATATTCATGTAATAAACCTGCGCTTGGGCTAGGCATGGTGGCTCACATCTGTGATCCCAGAACTTTGGGAGGCTGAGGTGGGCAGATCACTTGAGGCCAAGAGTTCGAGACCAGCCTGGCCAACCTGGTGAAACCCTCTGTGTATGAAAAACCCAAAAAATTTGCCAAGCGTGCTGGCATGCGCCTGTAATCCCAACTACTTGGGAGGCTGAGGCAAGAGAATTGCTTGGACCTGGGAGATAGGGGTTGCAGTGAGCCGAGGTAGTGCCACTGTACTCCAGCGTGGGTGACAGAGGCTGGGTGACTCTGTCTCAAAATAAAATAAAATATTTAAATAAATAAATAAACCTGCACATGTACCCCCTGAATCTAAAATAAAAATTGAAACTAAAAAAAAAAAAAAAAAAAAATGGGTCGGGTGCGCTGACTCATGCCTGTAATCCCAGCACTTTCAGAGGCCAAGATGGGCAGATCACAAGGTCAAGAGATTGAGACCATCCTGGCCAACATGGTGAAACCCCGTCTCTACTAAAAATACAAAAATTAGCTGGGTGTGGTGCCGTGCACCTGAAGTCCCACCTACTTGGGAGGCTGAGGCAGAAGAATCGCTTGAACCCAGGAGGCGGAGATTGTAGTGACCCGAGATCCTGCCACTGCACCCTAGGCTGGCAACAGAGCAAGTCTCCATCAAAAAAAAAAAAAGCCTGAATGTTTAGCCCTAAACATCAATGAGCCCGCAAAGGTGAGAATAATAAAAATTTCCCTGGATTATTATCTTTTGATGGCTTGCCTTTCCACCGCATCCCTTCGCCTGCCACTCAGTTGCTGACATTGCTATCTCCTTTATATGGATTTATTTGATATTTGTTGTTTCTCATTATAATACACATGCTAAACATCAAGAAGCTGAAGAACTGGGCAGGGAAAATTGAAAAGACAAAGGTGGAAAATGGTTCAGGCTGGCTTTTGATAAGTACTTGACTTTTCCTGGTGGAGAAGGAATACACCATTTTTTGGCATAAAAAGCTCTGTATGCACAGTGAAAGGATCTTGGGTTTCTAGAGTCACATCTACCTTTCTTAAGTAAGTTGATCCCTATATTGGTGCTGGATTTTCTCATTTGTAAAATGATCCCAAATTCATTTGAGCTCTAAATCTCTTTTAAGCAAACTTACTCCCTGATTAGAACAGTTCTACTCTCTGTCTGAATGACAAACCTTTCTTAAGAAACATTATATAAATGTTTCATTATGTGCATGATATAAAGAAAGTTATTGCCAGAAAGTGGCTAATTCTTTAAAGAAATCCTTCAGAAAAATTATCCTTTAGCAATTTAATGTGTCTTCAATCGTGTTGAAAAGCTATACCTACTTCTGAATACATGGTGACATACTGCTGTGGTTAAATGTACGTTAAAGATCCATTTAATAGCTCAGATGTCCCTACAGAAATTAGTTATCTTGTTTCTGGTGTGGGTTTCTTATCTGAGAAATAGGGTGAGTTGGAATTACCTCGTGGTAAAGATTAATCATTGCAAAAACTAAATAAAATAGTGTATGTAAGTCATTATTAATTAGCACAGTGCATACATGCAACAAATATGACCATCATCATTACCTATTAGACATCATCAGTATGCCCTAGTGACTGGATGTATATTATCTCTATTCCTGCAAGACCAGAAATTATTTGCATTTTACAGAGGAACATAAGAATATTTGTTTGTTTTGTTATTTTGCCATAGAAGATACAGAAGCAGCTCTACTTCCTGATTTGGGAGAAGGGACTTCAGCCCACCCGCCATAGAGACAGCAGGCTTGGAAGCAGAGCAGGCCTCCCCTACTGTACGCACCCACATTGGACCTCTCAGGCACGTTGGCATGATAGGTCTCGTGCAGGAACTCCGGAGGGTTGTCGTTAATGTCCTGGACCTTGACAATGAATTCTGACGGTGGTTCCAGTGGCCGGTTGGTGTCCCTGTCCACCGCCTGAGCCATCAATGTGTACTGGGCTCTCTCTTCTCGATCCAACTTCTTGGTGGCATGAATGTTCCCTGATTTGTCATCAATCACAAAAATGGTTCCAGCTCCTTCACCTGAGAGAATGTATTTAATGTTCCCATCACCAGAGTCAATATCCGAATGAAGCTGGAAAAAAGAAATTGAGATTTGCAATTCCGTGAGGAATGCAGTGGTGTCATAGAAACTTGCTTACAAGTGATTGCAACAATCTGCCATGCACACACATATCATGAGAGGGAGGTGTTCATCCTCATTTTACAACAGGAGAAAGGCAACCTCAGAGAAGATCATAGCCTTCACCAAGGCCGTACTGCAGAACAGTGAAGCCAGAGTGCAAATATATATATATATATATATATATGTATATATATATATACACACACATATATTTTTTAGCTCTAAGATTCATGATCTCCCTTTACCTCTCTCCATATATATGCACAGATACAAAATATAAATACCTAAACATATCTGTCAATAGTTTGAAATAAATGTATGTTTATTTAAAAACATATAAGCAAATATTTATGCAGTAAGTCTTCCTCTCAGTTCTTTCCCACTCCTTCATTTTCTTTTGTGCTCAGAGACTACCACTGTTACAAGTTTCTTGTGAATCCTACAAGAGATATTTTATTCTATGCATATGCAAGAAAATCTACACAGATACATATGTACTCTAGTTTACTGTTTTACAATAAAGTGCCAGAGTATACACATCATTCTTCACCTCATCATTTTCCTCTAACAATAAATTTAGATGACCATTCCACATTTATAACTATAGATCTTCCTCATCCACTGTATGGAGTCTATTATCTTTTTAAATTTTTTTTTGTTCTGGGGCGTTTTGTTGAGGCAGAGTCTCACTCTGTCACCCAGGTTGGAGTGCAATGGCATGATCTCGGCTCACTACAGCCTGCACTTCCCATGTTTAAGCAATTTCTCCTAAATAAGCCTCCCAAGTAGCTGGGATTACAGGCACATGCTACCACGCCCAGCTCATTTTTGTATTTTTAGTAGAGACAGGGTTTCACCATGTTGGCCAGGCTGGTCTCGAATGCCTGACCTCAGGTGATCTGCCTACCTGGCCAAGATTGTGAAACCCATCTCTACTAAAAATAAAAAAGAAAATTAGCTGGGCATGGTGGCGCATGCCTGTAATCCCAGCTACTCAGGAGGCTGACAGGAGAATCGCTTGAACCCTGGAGGCAAGGTTGCTGTGAGCTGAGAATGCACCATTGCACCCCAGCCTGGACAACAAGAGTGAAACTCTGTCCAAAAAAAAAAAAAAAAAAAAGGCCGGGAGCATTGGCTCAAGCCTGTAATCTCAGCACTTTGTGAGGCTGAGACAGGCAGGACAGGCAGATCACTTGAGGTCAGGGGTTCAAGACTAGTCTGACCAACATGGTGAAACCCTATCTCTACCAAAAATACAAAAACTAACCAGGCGTGGTAGTGTACGCCTGTAATCCCAGCTACTCGGGAGGCTGAGGGAGGAGAATCCGTTGAACACAGGAGGTGGAGGTTGTAGCAAGCCAAGATCTTGCCAGTGCACTCCAGCCTGGGAGACAGTGTGACTCTGCCTCAAACAATAAAATAAAAAATATAATGATTATCAATGCCATTTAATATTAACAATATTAATAGTATTTATTACTAATGCCATTTTTATATTTTTGTTTGAAGTATTTTATTATTTCAATTTAAATTACTATTGAGACTAAGGCCTAGAGAACTTACTTCATGATTATTATTATGAGACTGAGGCCTAGAGACCTTGCTCATAAAGGAAGATTGAATACATTGACTTTAAAATTTTTTATATTGTTTCAATTTCCCCAAAGACATCTAATTGATTTGCGGTGCTTCAGTGAAACCTTAATTATTTCAGCTCAAGGGATTACCTGTAGGTACAAATTACAAAAACCATTTTGTTTTTAGTCCCCTCTGTTTCTCAGGGGATAAATAAACAGACTTTCCTGCAGAATTTGTTATTCATAACAAACTATGTGTTGTCATGAAATTATGGCTAACACATTTCTGGTGAACAAGTCCATTTGAGGGTGAAACATGCAAAGCTGTTTGATGCCCTATGACGGATGAACAGAATTGCCCCAATCTTCGTTCAAGTTTCCTTAATGAAGGCAAAGTTCCTGCCCCCACCCCAATTCCAGGGGAGGCTTATGTTTGTTCCTCTGTTTACCCTGCTGCAGACCTGGCAAACTTAAGGGCAAAGATGAGCGATTGAGAACAAGAAAATATAAATGAGATGCTTACTTTAATAGGCATATCTAGACACTGAATCTTTCTAAAGGCCTTCATACGTTACATATGAATTTGACAAGTTTCTTGAAAATTAAACAGATCTATTCCATGATCAGCCAAATAACTAAAAACTTAAAACATTTCCTATTATTTTCCTACTTTGTTTTCAGGTTGGAAAGTTGGATATAACTTCCTTTTTTTGTCTCTAACAAAGATGATTTATACAACTGACACGAATACTTAACTAGACTACACACACACACACACACACACACACACACAGAGTTTCAGAAGCCATTCAGTGCTATCAAGGGATCCAGTTACTGAGGCATACACAGCCAATTTTTAACTCCAAAAACGAATGGCTTCCCTCTCTGCACAGCACAGCGTGACACAGGCTGTATTTCTACAAGAAATTTTAAAGTTCATGGTTTGCCAAATTTCACTTTTTCAGGGCATCTTAAGCATTCAACCTTGAATGTCATCAAATCAAAGGTTGTTAGGAAACAAACCATCTACTCCATCCCTCCTATTTCTAGGGAACTGTCTCAGCACATTTCAAAAGAAAGATCCACAGGACCAACCACTTTATCTTTCCCCTAGCCAACCCGACATCAGCTTCATTCTCACATGCTTAGCTTTTGAAAATCACACAGCATGAATGATACTAGAGTTTTCCTTTTCCCTCTTTTTTACCCCTATGTTTTCTTCTAGGAGGCATGGCAATTGCTTGCTCCACAGAAATGCTGAAATGGCTCTCCAGATCCTGTTTCTTCTGCAACCCCCATCCTGAACACACACACTGCTTCCCATTGAGAAAGTCCCAAAGGCAGAAGGTTCTATTCATATCTCAGAATGATTCATGCACAGCCCTTCACATCATTCAAGCTCCTCATTCCTTGCCATGGCTGAGATCTCTTTTTCCTCTCTGGGCACACAGCCCATCCCCTCTACTTAGGGAATTCCATATGCCAATTATTTCTGTTTCCATTTCTCACATCAACTTCCACATCTTTCCATTTGGGATAAAAATGAATGAAATTCTTTGGTACATCTCTTCAAGAAGAATTTTTCCAAACTTACACAATGTTTGGAATTGAGATTCTAACGTGAAGTTCCTTCAAGTAAGTCAATTATGTGAATATGAAGTGCTGTTCTCATGTAAAAGAACAATTAAGATAACTTTGTAGAAATTAGTACTGTTCAGAAACCCCTCATACCTACTCTCTTTCCCTTTGCCCTTTCACTGGATAATCCTTGTTCATCTTTTAGGTTACAGTCATTACCATGTTCTCCTTGCAACCTTCCTTTCACAGCCCTCCCAAATATTACCATGTAAATTCACAATCACTAACACTGAATTTCCTCACTATTCAACTATTCATTTTCTTTCTTTTTTTTTTTAATTGCTTAGGTAACTGTCTCTTTTCCATTAGACCTCTTTGAGGTCAGCAGCTATCTTAAACTAGTTTACATTTTGCCTAGCACAGCAGCTGCACATGGTAGGGTTTTAGTTCTTATGTATCTAAGCATCCATTTTCTTCTTTTAATTTTTTTTGAGATGGAGGCCTTTATCTCATAATAATAATTTAAATTGTAATAATAAAAAATACTTTAACAAAAATAAGAAAATGACTTTAGTAATAACACTATTATATTGTTAATATTAAATACATTGATAATCATCTTTTTTATTATATTTATTTGTTTGTTTGTTTATTTACTTTTGAGACAAAGTCTTACTGTTTCCCAGGCTAGAATGCAGTAGTATGTCTCAGCTTACTGCAACCTCCGCCTCCTGGGTTCCAGTGATTCTCTTGCCTCAACCTCTGGAGCAGTCAGGATTACAGGCATCTGCCACCACACCTGGCTAATATTTGTATTTTTAGTAGAGATGAGGTTTCACCATGCTGGCCAGGCTGGTTTTGAACTCCTGACTTCCAGTGATCCACCTGCCTCAGCCTCTCAAAATGCTGGGATTACAGGTGTGAGCCACTGTGTTGGCCATGCCTATCTTTTTGTAGTTTTAATGTCACTATCATCTGAAAGATAACTGTATACTTTACTACAAATTCTAGTGGGTAGGTAATTTTCCAAACTCTCTTGAATTTGTATTTTGGACTCTCTTTCTACACTTGCACTTTTCTGGAACGGACACACAGAGACCACAGAGCCTGGAATCTGAAGTCCTCTCACTGGGTTTTACCATTCCTGTGGAAACAGGGATAAAATCATCATTCATCTCTGGGTCTAGCATCAGGACCTAAGTACACAAGGAAGACACTGTCCCTGACACAAAGTAGTTTGAAGTCTAATGAAGCAGACAGATTCATAAGTAGATGCGTTGAATACAAAAAGGAAAGTTATGATAAAGGGTCTAAAGGAGGGGCAATCAAGTTGGGGTTAGGGTGTGGCCCGGGGAAATGCCTCCAATTGGAAAATGGTTAAATAATTTATGGCTATGTCCATTTAATGGGCTATTAAGCAGCCATTTAAAGTGGAGTTTGAGCCTGGTGTGGTGGCTCAGACCTGTAATCCCAACATTCTGGGAGGCTGATGAGGGAGGATCACTCGAGGTCAGGAGTTTGAGACCAACCTGGGCAATGTAGCAAGATCTTGTCTCTACAAAAAATTAAATAAAATGAAAATGAGCCAGGCACGGTTGCATGAGCATGTAATCCCAGATACTCAGGAGGCCAAAGCAGAAGGATCCCTTGAGCCCAGGAGTTTGAGAGCTATGATCACACTTCTGCATGTCCATCTGGGCATCAGAGAGAGACCCCATATCTAAATAATAATGATAAATTTTAAATGGAGTTTTACGATGTAACTCCATAAAACTAAATGGAAAAACCTAAGAAGTATTCATAATATGGGTAAGTCTATTAATTTTAAAAAAACATCTGGAAGGACATATTATGTACAATGTTTGGGGAGTTTCACTGGCTGTTCAGGCCATTGGTGTTTTCTCTCCTAGATGCCTGTAGGCCTTCTGTTTCTTTCTGGACACAGATGGCTATTCCAGTGGTGGGATAGAGAGCTGAGGATTGAGGGAAAGCATCCTTACCCTGCCCACAAGCACGGGGTCAGGCCCAGTGTATTCCTCTATCACGAAGAACTGGTTCCAAACCCAGCCACGCTTGGAGCGCTGTAGCACCTGCCCCTCCTTGCCCTTCTCATGGTGTCCATGGAAGGAGGGCCGCAGGTGGCTCCGCCGCTCCGAGGCAAAGGCATGGCTGTGGCACAGCATGCCCAGGCACACCAGGGCGGCTTGTAAACAGTAGTTCTCCTTCATTTTTGGTTACGTGGTAGGCACAGGAGAATGCAGCTGTCACCCCTTCCACCAACTGTGGGGTGGTCTTGCCGAGGTGGTCTCCCGGATGCGTCACACAGACCTCTCTTGGAATGGAATGTCTCTGCTGGCTGAGCTCATCACGTCAGGCCTGCCCACGTCCCCAGTCAGCTTCTGCAAGCAGAGAGAGGTTGGATTAGCTGCAGGCCAAATCCCCACTTCATTTCCATTCCACTCTGTAAGCCTTCTTACAGAGGACTGGGAATCAGTTTTATCAGGTGGGAGCTATGGGCTTTGGGGAAGCTCACCGACGGATGTGAGCTCAGCTTCCTCATTTATGAAGTGGGGATAAGAATGTACCCACTATAAAGCTGTCACAGGGATTCAATGAGTAATGCATATATGTCTCTTAGCACAATGCCTGGTACATAGTAAGCACTCCATATTTATCTATTATTATAATTGACCAAAATATTGCTTAGATATGATTTTGTAACAGGAAACAGGGAATTAAAGGAGCCCAGATGAGGAACATATAGTCCTCAGGGGGATTCAGTCCAGGGAGAGGATGGATGGCTGGACTCGATCCTTTGGTGAGGTTGCTGTAATAAGAAAGGAAACTGCTGTAGGATTCCATGCAAAGTAACAGCACATCCGAAAGCACAGTGTGCTCCAAGACGTTCAGCATGCCTGGAGATAGTAATGAAGAAGGCAGGCAGACAATGGGTCCTGCTAGAGAAGGGATGTAGTGGAAGATCCTGAGAAAACACTGATAGTTACTGAAATATTTACCAGAGAAGTAATGCATCAAGTTCTCTTTGGTAAATCAGTTAAGTATATAGTGTCAATTCAAGGAGGAAGATTTGTTCTTGTCTGGCAAAGACCCATCCACAAAGCCAAAGATCCTACCTTGCTTAGCCTGGAAGTTTCAGAATGGATATTTTACAAGCTTTCACTAACCAGAAGAAGGAAAATAAAGCAAAACACTATGCCAGTATGCCCTACCAACCAGCCCATGGTCATGTTCCTGGCACCCAGTCACAACCCAGCTACTCAACACCAGCAAGGATAGGCCAATAAGGCCTTTCACCTCTCCACACTCCTCACAAGTTTCTGACCCATAGTCACTCCTATCCTCTTTCCAGCACTCTGGCTCTCATCAGCAGTCCTTAACTTCTGCCTCAGGTTCTAGAATTCTTCACTGAACTTTCTCATGCTGAAAACTTAATTCTTCTCTAAGGAACTCCCTTTGTTTGTTCTCCTCTCTTAGAACCATACACTTGTTTTCTGGAGAACAAATTTCTCTCTCTGGCATGCCACCCAGATTCCAGAAAATCAGATGACTTCACCACCAATGTGAGGGAATCTCAGAAAGTTCTTGTGCAGGGGGATGACACATTGATATTGAGAATAACATTCTGTTTCAGCATCTGGGTCTAAATGAAACTGTAAAACTCACTGAGCATTGTAGGAATCACTGTCATCATCTAATTTTTTTGCTGCCTGGTTTAGTTGAAATGATTCAAGGAAGAAGGGAACAAGAAGGAAAGAGCATGGATCTTGGCATAGTGAAAGGTACATAGACTTGGAGATCAGGTACACCTGGATAAGAATATAATTTTCATATTCTACAATCTGAGTTATGTTGGGCATGCCAATCAATCACTCTGAACCTCCACGATTTCATGTGAACAATGAAGATGACAAGAATTCTTGCACCTATATAGGCCTGAACACACAGTTCAGAACTGGGCATGCACTAGGTTCCTTCTTCTTTTCCTAGAGTATCACAACATAGGGGAAGATCTCAAGAAAATACTGATGGTTACTGAAATATTTACAGAAGACTTAATGGGACAGGTCTGATAGGGTTTGTCTGTGTCCCCACCCAAATCTCATCTTGAATTCAACATATGTTGTGGGATGGACCCGGTGGGAGGTAACTGAATCATGGTTGCTGGTCTTTCCCATGCTGTTCTCGTGACAGGGAATAAGTCTCAGGAGATCTCACAGTTTTATAAGGGGCAGTTTCCCTGCACAAGCACTCTCTTTTTGCCTGCTGCCATCCATGTAAGATGTGACTTGCTCCTCCTTGTCTTCCACCATAATTGTGAGGCTTCCCTAACCATGTAGAACTGTAAAGGTACCCATGCCTTGCACATGGAGATGCCCCAAAGAGGGTGATGAGGTGTTTTCTCCAAGATGGAAATTGAGAAAAAAATGAGTTACTTGGGATACCATAGCCATCTGACCTCAGCAACCTAGGAAATAAAAGAATTGGTGAACTTATAATTTGTAGATACAAATCCATTCCCTTCTGATGGCCTTTGACTTTGCCAACCCAAGCCTTTCTGATTCCTTTGTAACATGGCAAAGTGGTATCTCAGGAGGCCACAGATGTGCAGTTAATGCCTGGTGACTGTCACTGTCCTCAATAACACTTTGGGATGATATTATGTTAGTCTTTATTCAAGGAATAGGGGAGCTGAAACCTTTAATATTGGTAGTAGACAGACACTTCGAGATATGTGAAAGTCTACAGGGGAGAGAGAGAAAAATGAAAAAGGCAGTGTCATCATTTAGCAGTTTCATCCTCAGACTCAGACACTTTAATAAAATACATCACATGCTGTTTCTAGAAAGCCAAACTGACTGTGTGGTAAGAGCACAGAGAAGGCCCCAGGAGTGGTTGGATGCTAAAATGAGGCAATATGAAACAACAGGAAGATTTCTGGGCAGAAGTCAGGAAACTTGAGATTTGGTGGAGCGTGGGGCACTAACTTGCCATGGGAACTCATTGATTCTACTCTTACAGGTTCTGTCTCACTCTTTTTTTTTTTTTTTTTGAGACAGAGTTTCACTCTTGTTGCCCAGGCTGGAGTGCAGTGGCGTGATCTTGGCTTAGCACAACCTCTGCCTCCTGGGTTCAAGCGATTCTCCTGCCTCAGCCTCCTGAGTAGTTGGGATCACAGGCATGCCTCACCATGCTTGCTAATTTTGCATTTTTAGTAGAGACGGGGTTTCTCCATGTTGGTTAGGGTGGTCTCAAACTCCTGACCTGAAGTGATCCGCCCACCTCGGCCTCCCAAAGATCTGGGATTACAGGCGTGAGCCACCACACCCAGCCTCTCTCATGCCATAAAATGAAGCCTCTGTAAAGTTTTCTACAAGTGGCTCCCAGCTTCATATTCACAGTTAAGAATTTCAATGAACTACTGAGGGGACATTTCTTCTGATTCATACACTGTCTCTTTACTAGACTGGAA